GAAGCACTTAGCCACCTATTCTATAGCCTTTAACTAACAAATAGAACCTAAGAAATATTTCTAAAATTCCCAAAAACCGTGCGATCTTCTTTCCAAGGCATCAGACAATTTGAATGTTTAATCCCGAACCTTTGATTCGGCCGTACGGCCTGGTTGCTGCTACCCTCCGGAACGCAATTAACGCCGGGCGCAGGCGATTCCTCCTCTTGTTCGCGGAAACGCAGAAGGGCTGACCGATTCGGCCTCGATTCTTCGTCCCGTTGGTTGCGTCGGCACGCAAGCTCGCCTGAGAAGTAAGCAGGCACGATATTCAATAAATAACGAGACGCGTACGAGATAATTGGGGGGCCATAATTGCGCGCATCTTGCGTATTTCGTGCAGCGCGGCGGCGAAAACGCGCGACCAGATCCGCCGATGCTTTTTGGCCGTCGGCGTTTCGATTCTCTTTCCACCGGCAGAAAACACAAAAGGTGCCTTTCGCGTGAGAAGCCGATGTATACACATCGGCTCGGTTTCCGGTGAAACGGCGCGACAAACAAAAGCCCGGTGCGCCTCGTTCGCGGTCGTCCGCCTGAATGTTTAACTCTCATAATCGAAGCTCCCTTCTTCCCTGTTGCTGCACCTCGTCGCTCGCCTATATCTCCGTGTTCCGTGTTACGTATCCGGGGCCCTTGCGTTTTTCCCTTCCGTCATTCGGGGTACGAACACATCAGTCACCTGTGTCCATTTCGAACTTTCTCCCGGGCGACGATTATACGTACGCTTCGCGTCCGAGCGAGCCGTTCGCCCATTTTGCGAACCGCCGCGAGCCGGCCGTTGTCTTTCCGCCCGCTGACCCACCGGCGACACGTGATCGTTCCGTTCGTTCAATACGGTGCTCGTTTCATTGTAAACATACTGTTAGGCAGCGTTGCTTCTTCGATACGGTTCCAAGCGATCCGGAAATTTCGATTCCTTTTTCGGAAACTTTATGGATTGTAGGGGGTACAAAGTGTTTTTGTTTATTTCGTGGAAATTTTTGGCATGTTATGTTATTATTGGAGTATTTGTCGGTGTTCAACGATTTGTAATAAAGAAGAATGTTTGGGTTAGAAAAAGATGATGTAATGGAGAAAGGAGGTATGGCGATTTTGATGATCGCATCTTCCTGAATTTTGATCATAAGTTACTCACTGTGTTGCTCTTAATTTTGTTACTTGCTTGTTTATCTCAAGTGACATCGTATACATTAAACATAGTAATAATACGATAGAAATTCTACGAACGTTTTACACAGCCGAAAACGCAGCATAAAAATAACTAACTCTTAAAAGGGGGGAAAAGTTTCTCAAAAAGTAGTTTACTAAATTGGGAAATACAATACAAAGGAAGGCGTGCAGAACAGGAATACGAGCCGAGTGAAAGTTTCGCGTGATTAAGGCAGGGCTCCTAATCGAAACGAATGTTTATCGAGAAGAGTGTGTAAATTCGCGGAAACGGGCTAATCGTAGAAACGTTCACGCGATCGGTTCCCGTAGCGGCCAGTAAATCGCGTACATTATTAATAGCGCGCGCGCGGCCGGTGAGCTCTGTCTTCGTCGTAACCTTCGGTAATCTTCGACAGTGGCCGATAAAAAGACGGTAATCAAATTCATCGATCGCATTAGCGGTAACAATGTTTCGCGGAACAACGAATGCGCTGTGTCGTCGATGAGAAAAAGGCAACGGCGCGGAGCGGCGGCGGCAATCGATACACCGGCTCATTTAATGAATCCTGGAAGCACGTAATGATCCGACGCTCGTCACACCATCAAACTGCCTCGATGGTGTTCCCCCTCTGCCTCGCTTGTTTTCAATTGTTTCTCGTTTCTGGAATGATCGCAAATTATACGTTGTCCTCGGATGCGGGAGCATCGGTTTTCTGGACAATCATCTCTCCGTACGTGAACGTGTCCAAGAGACATCGGCCCGCAACAATTTAAA